GCCTAGGAATTGAAATTTATTTCAATTTTTATTTCTGAGTGCATCAGTCTTAAAATTTATCCCAAGTTGTGTTGATGTTAAAATAAGATAAAGTTTGAGGAAAAAACAAATCCACAGAGCAGGTTCACAGTTATCTTGAGATATAAGTGTCCAAACTTCCATTTTCAAAAATGGGAAACCTAGACACAATGTTCATAAGTAACTGGCTAAAATCACACACAATTAAGTACACCAGATACTATGATCTTCTCATGCAATTTTGTGCTTTTTATAGAATGATTCATGTGCCTCCTCACCCATGCTTCAACATAATTATGGAAGTATGATCATGAACATTTGCTTTAACAAAGAGATGACAAAATACAAAAGTTCTATACTGATCTCTGAGTTTATTTTACAGTTTTCACATGTAAGCCTCTACTGCCTAAGGATTGGAAAAAAATTAAAGCTGAAGGCTCAGTTCCTATCTTCCAGGCATTTGATAATAATTGTTGAAAAAACACATTAAAAATGTGATAAAAAGTGAAATAAGGAATATATGTGGCAGTCTGAGCAAATGGCCCTCCAAATATGCCAACATCCTGATCACTGGACCCTAAGAATATGTTCATTTATGTGATAAAAGGGACTTTGCAGATGTGAAAAAATTAAGGATTTTGAGATAGAGAGATTATACTGGATTATCTAGGTGGGCTCAATGTTGTAATTGTTACCACACCAGGTCTGTTTTTGCCCACCGCCCAGAAAGCCAATCACAATGATGACAAGCTTGCAGAGAGAGAGAGGATTTATTAATCACAAGGTAGTCAAGCATGGAAGTGGGAGAATGAATCTCAAATCCACTTCCCCAAAAATAGGGACTCAAGAATATTTATGGGGTAGGAGGCAAGGTGGTCTGAAATGATTGGAGGTGAGGAGAGATGGGGTAATTGATGATCTGCACAAGCACAGTCAGGCTTCATGCCTCTTCATAGGACACATGTTCACAGAATGGTGGCGTTAGCATGCCCTGAGGGTGGAGTTCTAACCTCTTGACATCAAAAGGTTGCTTATTGGACGTATGTCTGTGTGGGCCCAGTTGATGGGTTGGTGGTCTCAACCAGGCTGAAGTGGACAAGGGGTTCCAATTCCTGAAAAAAATAGTGCAAACACCCATTACCATGGTGACCCCGGCTCCAGGGGGAAGTCACCTATGGGAACCTAGTGGGAGTCAGATAGCATATTGCCTAAATAGCACAGTTAACAATGGGTAGGTTTATCATGCAGATTTAAGTTCTCGCCTTCCGTTCTCATAAGTTTTTAGGTAGGGCCATCCCCCTCTTCTTCCTGGTACAGGGAAGAGGATACCTTTACAAGTGGAGATTTCCTTTACAAATGCATATGTCTCTTATAAAGGGTAACCAGAACTAAGAATGGGCTTAGCAAGGACCCTGCAGATATCCAGAGATGTCTATGGCGATGGCCTGTTCTGGGGGCAGGCCTCCCATCCCAAACTCCTTTGGTCAGTTAGTGGGAGTGGGGGCCAAAGAGTCTTCCATGCAGAGACATATTTTGAGAGGGCCAATTCTGATCCCCCATAGTTACTAGCTGCTTAATCATCAATGGCTAAGTGTTTGCTCGTTTTGTAATCATAAGTGTCTTTATAGTACCATAAAAAAGGAAAAGGCGATATGATGATTGAAGCAGATCTTGGAGTGATGTGCTTTGAATATGGAGGAAGGAGTCACAAGACAAGGCATGTAGGTGGACACTAGAACCTGAATAAAGCAAAGAAACAGATTCTTTCATCAGACCCCCCAGAAGGAAACAGCCATGACAAACCCTTGACTCAGGGCTAGTGAAAACGATTTCAGACCTCTGAACTCTGTGACAGTAAGAGAATAAATCTGTGTTGCTTTAAGCTACCAAATTTGTGGTAATTTGTTACAGTAACAATACAAAACTAATACAATGTGTTACAACAATTTCAAAAGCAAAATGCCATTTGACAATGGTGAAGGGAGAGATTGGTCCATTTGAGAAGGTCCTAAGAACACATAGTGGAGGATACAGAGAATTCTGGTGAAAGTGGGAGATAGAATATGTATATTTATCTTCTAATTTCTTAAACCCAACTAAAATATTAGTAAAGGAATAAAAAAAGAATTAGTATAAACCCAAAAGGACAAAATGAATGACACAGCAGATGACAGATTAGAAATATAAATAATGTGGAAAGTGAAAAGCCAAAGATGAGTGCTAACCAGTTGAGCAACCTGAGAAAGTTAATATGCAAGATAGGGATTTCCATTCCCAGCCATGAATTAGTAAAGCACCTAGAAATACCCTCCCATATTAAAGAACAAGAAAACTTAACAAAATACAGGAAAGAACTATCTTTAGATGTTACACATTAGGCAGCACAGGATGAGAAAAGAAAAAGAAAAAAGAATAAAAACCTAGATGAGCTCCTCAATCATCCAGGATTTATGCCCGAAGCCCGTGAACATCCAGGAGAGCAGCGTAAGGAAAGGGAATGGAAACAAAGATCAATGGTTTTACTGAGTTCAGGAGACACAGAGAGAGCAGAGTTTGGAGAAGGTGATGCAGCTAGAATTTATAGGGAGAAGAATGATCTATAGAAGGAAGACTTCCATACTTACTGACATATTCTCTCACTACACAAAGTAAATGCATACCCAGATTTGCAATTGTCACTCACAAGGAGAAACAAACTTGTCTCAGATAAGGTAGGAAGAGAGTGAGATGATACCTATAAATTAACAGAGAAAATCAAGGGGCAGGACAGACCCACCCAAGTATGAGCAAAATGAACAGAACTAGCCTGACAATTAAAATTCCTTTAGCAAATAAAAGAAATATAGCATCTAAAATACAAAGAAGCATGTATCAAAGAACACATAACCCAAGGTATATATGGAAATTGCCAACAAATTGTCATGCTCAGAAGCATATATTAGGAACATGAATTCAATAAATAAAGGCTTATATGAAATAACAAATTAAAAGAATGACTCACAAACAAATATTGCTGGCCTAAAGAAACAGAGAAACTAAATAACATCATTATAGAACTAATAAATAAAAACAAGAAGCTAAGAGTTGTAAAGACAATCCAACATAAGTATAATTATATCTTCAAAATAGAAAATCCAACACATGCTATGGAAAAAATATTTCACATGTATAAAGAAAGAAAGTTGTTTGAAACAAACTGAATCTGTGAATAGAAAGAATACAATGTATTTCAGAGAATATGTTAGAGAATATTGAACATCAAAACTTTTCCTGGTTGAGTTATGACCTAAAAAGACAAGAAAAGACTTCCAGTAGATAAAGCAAGGAGAGAAAAGTAATCATGGTTGTTTTACACTTTTCCATGGCAGAATTTAATGCTCAAATAAAACGTTCCAAAGTTTATATAGTTTATAGGAAAAGGAAGTATGAGATAAGAATATTATATACTGGCTATATATAATTCAGTTGTAAAGAGAAGAGGTGGATTATATCAAACATGAAATGGCTCAAGGAGTATAGTACCTATCCCTCCTTTTATTAAGCTATTTAATTTTAAATTTATTCACCTGAGAAAAGAAATCAAAATGAAAACTTTAGAAAAGGAGAAGTTACTATAATAGAAGTTGTGATATTTCTTTAATTTCCTACAATGATTTTTAAATTATTTTTTATTTGTAAAATATAGTTAATGTTTTTTAAAGTAT